CTGAGGAGCTGTGAGATGATCAGCAGGATAGGAGAGAAGGGTTAAAATATTCTTTGTAAATAATGAACTGAATGTTTGAATGTCTCTGTAGATTTCAATGTTTAGTTTGTGCCGATGTGCTTAATAGTAGTGCTGTCAAACGTTAAAAAGTAATCTCCAATAATCGCAACATTTCAGTTCATTCATCGCAATTAGTCACTTTTAAACATATGCTTAAAATGTAATTATTCCGTATTTAAAAATGTTTAAACTGTTGAAATGTTTTGGCGTTGTCTTTAGCTGAGCGTTCTTTACTTGCTGTTTGAATTCAACCCTGCTTTTATTTTGACATAAAGTAAAGACCTTCTGGTAGATCAAAGGCATTACATTAGGACACTAACTTAACCACGGAAAAAGAAACTTGTTACGGATCAAAAGCTGAATATCAACGGCTAAAAGTGATGTTATAAAAGTGAAATGTTGGTGACATTAGGAGGATATTACTTTTGACCCGTCAACTGAGCCGTCTGAGAGGGGTTTTTTTAAGGTGAAATGAGACTTTCAAAGATGCAGCAGGTTGCATTTTTTAAAATAATTTAAATTCATCGTACTTACTTATTTCACAAATGATATCATGATAATGATCATGGCATGAACCTCTAAGAAGAAGTTGATTGAACTGGCAGACAAAATGAATGTGTGTCATGATACTAAAAAGGCTCCAAAACACATGAGCCAGGAAACAAGGCAAAAAAACCACACTAAAATATACACATATATACTGTACTGTATGTGTTGTAAACCTCACCTTCAGGCTAATTAACTAAAGTAACAGATAGAAGTCAGCTCTTGTCACACTATAGTGAGTGAAGATAGTTCCCACATAGAGAAGGAAAGCATACCCTGTAATCCCCGAGGTCAGAGGGGACGATGGCGGGAACCAACTGAAGGGACAGGCTGGATTAACTTTTTTAAATATGTTTCACACAAGCTAATGTGAACGCTCTAGATCATGACAACAGCTGAAGGACTGCAAGTAAAAAATGACATTTTGACAAAAAAATTAAAAAGATTCAAGAGTCCTTTCTTGTCATTCAGAGTCTTTACCAGGCAGGTTCACAGCAGAACAACATTTAATATATGTTAACACTTCAGCATTCAAACCGTCACTTCAAACCTTAATACTTTTTGTGATAAAAAATATTAATTGGATATTTTTCAATATGATGAGGCAGCAAAACTATGACCTGCGTTACATTAAACAGAACAAGGCATGATACCTCAGTACCTGCCTCCCACCCACCCCTGCAGTGTACACCAGACAGATATAGACGAGGCAAGGACCTAAGTACCTACATAGAGAGACAGATACAAATGACAATACAAATAATAACATAATAAAAAGACAAACAAACAAAAAGGTAGAAAGACTAGACTCATTCAAACCTTTCTGTAATTTGATTTGACCAAATTCTTTCTATTCATTAGAGATCAACAACACCGTACTTTCCACATATGCTGATTTCATATCAATCTTTTCAATTCTGTTATTCTGCATGTGTAGTTTTGATGTAGTTTAATATTTTGAAAAACAACAAATATCAAAGACTGACATCCAGAAAGGCTAAAATGAAAGGTTTCAGACTTCTGATTTATTATTCAGCTTAATGGATACATGAATGTTGTCTACATTGATAACTGAATGTGCAAACAATCTAAAACTATGATAACCATAAACATCTTTTTTTAGCTAATTAACTTTATTAACTGAATGCTTATTCATGTTTTGTAAACATGTGTATATGCTGCTTTCTTTCTGTTTTATGATGTGGATGCAAACATCTTTTTTGTTTTGGACAGTTAGTCACTTTTCAAGACCTTAAAAGTCAAACTTAAAATGTTTAAAGAAAATGAGTTAATAAGGACAGTGTTTCCCCTCGGTTTACAGCTTTGGGTGGGTGGGGAGGTGCGGGCAGACGGACGCCGACACAAACACTTGAAGGAATCTTGGTGTTCATGTATTACTTTTAATGACAGCTGTCCTGTTCTGTCGGAAAGGTATCGGAAAGTTATCCTTAAATGACTTCTTTCCCTGATTTCCGACTCTATCCACTATCTCATCTCTACAATAAAGGCACAAAAAGCCCAAAAATAAAAAAATTTAAAAAAAGGGCCGGCCCCCTAATATAATGGTAGAGGAAACACTGAAGGATATTTAAGGAGATTAGTTATACTCGGAGTAATGTGCCAACTTTTGTGTTAGAATCAAGTTGAAATCAGTTCCAGTTAAGTTTGATGAATGAAACGGTTAAGTAGCATTCACGGTTGTTTACCCATTTCAACACAATAACAACATAATAATTGGATTGCTTATTTGTGGCTCAAGTATTTCCTTCTGGATTAGGCTTCTAAATACTCTGCTGCTGCCCTTTACACGCCTTCAGTCTATTTTCAGGATCAGCGTCACTGTGGTCTATTACGTATAAAGCATTCCATTTGATTTTTTTCTGGATTTGGATAAAGTTTTGTTTGTGTGCTGGTGGGGACTGATGATCTGATAAGAGTGGAAATGATTCTCCTGTTGTTATATTGCATTTCACCAGTTATACTCCATTACGAGAACAAAGTAGAGACTTAACAGTTCTATCAGTGACCAACACTAATGCATCATTGTTCTGCACTTTAGCCCAAAGCGTAATTTACGTTCTGTGTATAGTATTTGTTCATCCCCCTCGGTGGCGTCAGCTTTACAGCCCTGTAGTGACGATTTACAGCCTCAGGTGATCACACTTGTACCTGAGGGATATATGTTAATGTTGCTCTCACATGAGCATCTCCTGCAGAACAATGATCGTGTCTCTGAGCACAGAGGAGACTCTCTGAAAGAGTTTCTGTTCTGCTGAGGAGGGGGGGGAGAAATTTGACTGTAACAGAAAGAGAGCCGTGCAGCCTGACATGGTTTTAATATTCATTACAAGAATAATCACAAAGACAGGTGTGACACATACATATCCAGGTTGTAAGTGGCATTTTACACTCCAAAACTGTTCAAATGTCATGTTGCATGATTATAAACTTGCACAAGTGCACTTGTGTTTAGTCTGATTATGTCGTCGTGTTAATCTCCATGTTTAATTAGCAATCAATTTGCATAAATATTGAATATCCATGCTTGGCAATAAAACAAGTCAGTGCATTTTTTTTACCCTCTTCTCATTAAGCTCTACTTTTTGTTCAAGCGGCTGCTGGGAGTGGGAGTCTGCCCGTTTCTTATGCATCGGTTCAATAACCGGGACCTTTCAACTGTCTAGTGCAGTGTGCAGACTAAAGGCACTTTACACAGAAGCAGAGGGAATATTCGAGGTAGCTTAGAGCTGGTCTACCGCCGGTGACCTCCTCAGCGCTGTTAATGAAGCTAAATCCTCTGGACTTAAGCCGAACAAATACATCAAGTTAAAAAAATGTACTTATTCATTGATTTTGAAACATAGCGAGCCCCTTGTTGCCGGTTAGAAATGTCATTTAGAGACGCAACCTGCAGCCAAAAAAGGATGTAACAGGCCTTATTCAACACAATTCAAAAGGCTTTATGTGCATGAAGTTATTTTTCCAAAGCATTATCACTGTTTAATGTGCAGCAATGAACTAGGAGCATACGCCTCGAATCCACAGGGTTAAAAAAAAAAAAAAAGAAAAGAAAAGAAAGAAGTGGATGCTGCTAAGTGGTAGCCTCGGGCAGGTTTCAGTAAAAGGGGTGGCCTTGCCAAACAAAGGCTCCCAGTGTTAGCCCCACATCCTGACATCAAGTGATACGCCATAAAGGAATAAATTCAGATTTTACATATAACAACACAAATTTGTAAAAAGCTCATTGTGCTTCAGTGAGATTCCCTGACATGCATAACTAATGACTTTTCTTGCCTTTAAAGAGATGAGCCTGAGATGTGTGTCCTCATACGAGCAGGCTCAGTCTCCTGATGCATCCAAGAAGGAAGCAGCGGCTGCTCCTCTTAGTTTAGTTTAAGGGTTGAACACAGAGTGGGATTTTTTTTTTTTTTTTTGGTATTGGAAAAGTCGCTTTTATTTTCAATGATGCTTGAGATGCTTGGACACCACCATTATGAGGTATGTTTCAAATCAAAGTTATCTTTTGTAGAAAGAGGTTTTTTATTTTTTTTTCATAAAAAAATCATAAAATAGCATGCTAATAAATTCTGACTAATTTTACAACTTCTTTACTTTATTTAGGCCAGTGTAGACCATTTATTGTATCTACACTTAGTGTTCTTTCTATTATGCCTTAATTAAGTACGTGTTAGTCGTGGCATTAAAGAATGCATTCATTCGCCTTAAAAGTGCAAATATAGACTCCAGATGTGTGCTGGAGGGCAGCAGCACTGCTCCATTTCATCCTGAATAACTTTGTGTTACTGAAGTTTGTTCATTTGCCCACAGAAGCTTTACTGGATCATTAATGCCACGTGAAGGATTTAATGATCCACAGCAATCAAATCTATCTATGACCATGGAGTGCAAAGCCAGGGGTGTGCATGTTGATTTTTTTTCTTTGCTGGAAATATGTGGACTGATTGTGCGGAAAAGCAGAAAGTAGAACTGTTTTCCACCGAGACTCTTTGAGATAACAACACTTGACAGCTTCTCCCAAAAAAAAAAAAAAAAAGGAAAAATGCATAATGCATCGAAAGCTTTGAAATCTGTGCCGGGGTTTATTTTAATATTAAAGTCACAACTTTGCAATGCTGGGGACAGGCAAGACTTTGAGGTATATTTAGAGTCTTTTAATCTAATAAAAGACTACATAAAGCAAAAACTCCTCAAATGTGACGCAGTTGCAGATTAAAGTGGGATTTATTGAAATGGACTTTTCGTTTGCAGCATTGACTAAGGTGCATATGTTTGGCAATTTTCTCCAATCACATAACATTTCTGTAATACATTTTTTATTTCCCTCCCTCCTTTCCTTTTCTCTCGCCCTTTTTCTGTTCGTTCTGCACCTTAAGGTCCAGACTCACCTGGAGAACCCGACCAAGTACCACATCCAGCGCTCCCAGCAGCAGCAGGTCAAGAGGTACCTGGGAAAACTTGGCTCTCAGGCATTGAGCTTGCCCTGCCACAACCAGTCCTCTGACCACGGGGGCATGCCGCCAGGGCCGGGCAACAGCGCCCCCAACAGCCCTATGGCCTTACTGACCCTGAACTCTAACTGCGAGAAAGAGGTGAGCTTTTAGTCACGCTTACCACTCACGTGTCTTTTTTTTTAGTCATCCAGCACTGATTTATTCATTCTAATCTGTATGTCTTTTCCTCTTCTTCTTCATCTCCTACTTTAGATGGATGATGTCATTGATGACATTATTAGCCTGGAGTCCAGTTACAGTGATGACATCCTCGGCCTCATGGACCCTGGACTTCAGATGGCTAACACGGTATGTGTGTGCTTACATCAAATCTTTGTCAGCGCTCAGCCTATAAACAGTGAAAGCTCTTCACTGTCTGAAAGGTCAGCACACAAGGCTTCGCCTTTGATATGTCAAGAGAGGAAAAAAAAGTCAACCTTTATTTTTTCATACTGAATGAAACTATTGACAAAACAAAATGTCAACCCTGTGCTTTGCCTTTGCTGTAAGCCATGTTGCTGCACTGATCTTAATGTTAAAGTTAGCTCTGCTGCATCTCCAGGAGGGGCAACAACCTCCAGCTGTTTGCCTGAATGAAGGGAACATCCGGATGATTTTGGGGGAATACTTCCTGAAGTCTTCCTAGCATTTTTTTTTTTTTATACACGCAGAGACGGGAAGAAATCGCTGCATCTAGCTAAGAAGTAGAACCAAACACAACCCAGCCTAAACCGCAAATGAAATGCATGTTATGTATGTGTGTGTGATGATTCAATAACTGACATATAATGTGTCAACTACAATAAATAAGATTTAGTGCTAGGATTGCTACATATTTTCAGTCTTTAGCTAAGCTATGTTAAGCTAAGATGAATTCTCCTGGCTGAAGCGTTGCATGAGAGCCAGAGGGAACATTACAAAATGTTGTACTTTTCCTTTAATGGTGAAATCCATCTTATTTGCATCTATTGCTCGTACAGTCAAACTTCACTGTAGGATAGGCGTTCCTTTTGTCCCCCCATTTTTCCATCATGCTTTTTCTGTGACACTGATTGTCATCTATACAGCGGTGGTTTGATTCTGACTGAATGTCCGTGCTGTGTGTCCTCAGATCGCTGTTCCTGCTAACCTCATGGACATGTATGGTAATCAGGGTATGTCCCAGCAAGGTCTGCCCATCAGCAACTCGTGCCCCGCCAACCTGCCCAACATCAAAAGGGAATACTCCGGTAAGCAAGAGAGACACAAACACTTCAAATATCCTGGCATCCACTATCAACTCTGTATCTGTCAGCTATCAACATATACAATCATTAAAATGTGTCTGTTTCATGGGATATATTAAACAATACTTGTGATGTTCTACTCTCAAAGGCCGCTATTCACAAACATTCTGAGAATCCTCTCAGAGAGCTCCTAACTTCTAGCAAGGAATTTTAGCCTAGGAGCGATTTAGGAACAATCTCAGGGCAACACAGAGCGAGGAAGAGACAGAAACCTTTCTCTACTAACAAGTCAGACATTGTGAAATTATGAACACTATGACATGAGCACCTGTGTGATCATTTGCAAGACGTACTTTAAAAGTACATCGATGTTTGAAATCAGATGCTCACCTGTGCAGCAGCTTCTTCACACGCTGATCATGATATCAGCATGAAGAGCCTTCATTAGGGTTTGGATGCACCTGTGGAGGTGAACTCAACGTGCATTGTTCACTTTGTACCGAAAAAAGTCATAGATGGATTGAAATGTCTGCACAAATATTTCTTGTCTGTTCTTCCCAACTAAGAGTCAAAAATATTCTTCACGGAGTGTTTGGAGAACATTCCTCCATTTTCTCCTCAGCTTGAGAATCTCTTTTGCCTGTTAGAAGTCCTCCTCACTACTCAAAACAGTTTTACAATGTAGGAAGTCTTTTAAGGGCTAAGATGCTTTGTGAATAACTTTCATCTTTAGAAGGATTTAGGCTCAACTTTGAGGGGAGATTCTTAGAAACTGTCAAGAGTTTTCTTAGAATTTTGTCACCAGGAGTAGCTCTTAGTAGCCTACTTTGTACAGTCCGGTCCTTGTAATCCTCCTCTGTGTGGGGATGTTGTCCCCATTACTGACACTGTTTCTTTTTCCAATGAATACGAAATCATTCTTCTCATTTAATGTTGAAATTCTTTATCACACAGTGTCACAGTCCCCTGCCATCATGCATATGCTGGACAAGTCGGGATCCTGTGGCAAGTTTGACAACTATCAGAGGCCTGAAGGATTCCCCGTGGGTACGTGTGGTTAATATGCTACACAGTCTCGTTACTTTCACCACACTGTTGTGTGTGATGTGGTGTATTGATCTCAATGTTTCTTCCATAAGCAGAGGTGAGAGCAATGGCAAAGGAGAGGCAGAAGAAAGATAACCACAATCTGAGTGAGTTTTGACTCCACTTTAAAAATGCTAAACTGTGATTATGCTTGCTGTAGTGTCATATCATTTGTTTCACTTTTGACTTGGAAGAAAATAAATGTAAAGATTAAGATTCTTTAATCATTTTTTTTTTATCTCTTCTGTTTCTGCTGTGTAGTTGAAAGAAGAAGACGGTTCAACATCAATGACAGAATCAAAGAATTGGGAACTTTAATTCCAAAATCCAATGATCCGTAAGTACCTAATAACTTACATTTTTAATTTGCGTTTATTATTTTTGTATATTTAAAGGCAAAGGCAGGGAAATAAATTGCAGGGAAAAAACAGAGACAACCTTAAATAGCGGGGATAATATCCTGTCCTTATGTGATTTTATCATAGACTGTCTTCTGTGCTAAAATGTATCCAAAATAATTTTAGATTTTTTATCTAAGTGCCCCTGGGCGCTGAGAGTTGGCAGCCTGTTGCAGCAGGCTCCGACTCACTATTTTGCTGCTGCAATGCCCGAATTTCCCCTCTGGGAATCAATAAAGTATTATCCTATCCTCTCCTAAAGTCAAATCAAGTCAACATGTCCCAAAGTTGCGGTTGAGTTTGTTTTTTGTTTTTTGTTTTTTGCTTTTTACTGTGAAAACCCCGTCTTTGTGTTCCTTCAGCTTCTGAAGGAATCACTGTTTGAGTGGAGAGAAAAAAAGAAGCACACAGAGGGAATGTTGTACCAAAAAGACTGTGGAATGCCTGAAGATAACCATAAGATTTGTGTATCTCATAATAAGTCCTCACATTAGCTTCAGATGACCTTTAAAAAACATTTTAGCCCTCCTCTCCCTACCCAGGAACGTTGTTTTTGACAGACTCCAAATCAAAAAAGTGAACTTTAAAGGTGGACTATGAAGATTTGGTAGTGAAATTTGAAAGTTGGAGAAGTGAAACAATTCTGTGCTATTTTTTCTGAACTAAAAACACATACTTTATTCAAAGGAAAAAATTGATCCCTGGAACACTGTTCGGAGCTATAAAGCTACCAGGAGAGTTACGGTTTCACTGTTGCGAGCCCCCCACCATAACTTCTCCAGTAGCATTTTATCTTCAAACAGTGTTACAGGGACCAAATTTTCCTCTCAGGGCAGTTTGTGATAGAGATACGAACATAAACCACAGAATCTGTACATTTTCCCAACTTTCACATTTCTCTACCAAAACTCCAAAGTGCACCTTTAATCAATAGGATTATTTTGACATGCTCATCTGTTTATGTTACGAAGAGATTCTTCATTAAATGCATAAGAGGTATGCACATTTAGGGCAGCTATATGGAAAAGGGTTACTAACAAATTTGTAAAGATTTAATTTGCAGATTATTGTCAATCATGATTTCTGTGTGTTCTGACACACATGTTATAGGGTTAAAAGCTCAGTCCTGACCCTGCCGCTGATTCTAGGAAGACCCCAGCAGCCCCTCTTTTGTTATGTCCTCCCCCCTGTGGTTGTTTTGCCAAACCCCAGCTGGGTGCTCCACCTACACACACGCCCACACTAACACACAGACTCCAGATTCACATATGCTCACAACTTTTTTAATGTGTTCTGCATGTGTGTGAACACAAGCAGTAAAGCTTAAATTCTCGCCACGACTTCACCCGGTGTTTTTGTTGCCAGCCTGCTCATAAATTTGCACAAGAAGTCAGGGCGAGCTGATGTGTGAACACAGTAGGTTATATTCAGGAAAATTCACTTGTTAGTGAGTGCGAGAGAGGGGGTGATGACGTTGAAATCCTGTGACTGGTACAATATTTGTGCAGATGTGAACAAGAAACTCCGTAGGATTTCCGGGGCAAGCTGTCTCACATTTTCTAGAAAAGTATTTTTTCTTTTTTTTTTAGGTGGTTCATTTTACAAATGAAACATGCATGTTCTTGTGAGCATTCAATATAATTTTTTTTCTTCAGTAAAACATGTAAAAACCTTACCCATGACCAATTTCAGCCAGAGACAGTGGAGATGTTGGGATTGAAAGACTATTTAAGATAGTTTTCACGCCCCGCTCACTCCCACCACCACCTTTAATTCTTCATCTTCAAAATCAAAGTCAACTTTATTGTCAATTTCAAAATATGCCAGACATACAGTGGAATCGAAATTTCGTTTGTTTCCGTCCCACAGTGCAATACAACCAAAATAAGGTAAAATAAGATAAGGTAAAATAGATAAATAAAATGAGGTAAAAATAAGATAAATAATATTTACAGTAATAAATTCTAAATTGTGCAAAAGGTACAAAATGGTAAATTAAATTAAATTAAATTTAAAGAAAAAGTGAACTTGTGCAATATGTGCAATCTTGTTTGGGGGTTCACGGTTGTTTGACGTTTGGGGTCATCCTTATGGCTGCTTGTGATCCCGCTTGCACAAACGCCCGGTGCGGCATTCAGTCCTGCAAAGACCTCAGGCCCTTGATCAGCTGTTCACCTCTGTGACCTCATTATTCTCCTCTGTCTCGTGTTTTTTGACTGAACCGAGAAAACCATGTCTGAGAGCTTTTCTGTGATATCAGAAGGGGTAAAAACGGATCTCTCCAAGTAGATATTGCTGCTTTTCTTTCATGAAAGGATCTTAGAGAATATAGAGGGTTAAAACAAATGGCTTGTCTGTGGTTTTAAGGGACATGCGCTGGAACAAAGGCACCATCCTGAAGGCCTCGGTGGACTACATCAGGAAGCTGCAGCGAGAGCAGCTTAGGACCAAGGAGCTGGAGACTCGCCAGAAGAAGCTAGAGCACGCCAATCGACACCTGATGTTGAGGATACAGGTACACACATTTTCATTATACATATAGAGCTGTAGAACTTGATACCATAAAGTACCAGTAAAATAAAAAAAACTGTGAAATGTGATGTTTTGATATTTCTACAACCTTCTGCGTTGTTGTTCAATCCTGAGGGGGAACTCACATTAATTTACAAGTCAGATCTATTTTTCCAAGTATTCTGAATGCAGGGCAAGTTAGCCTCAGCCGACCACAGAGGAAATGACAACTGTTCTATTGATGGAAAACGAGCAGAATCACTATTTGATGCAGATGTTTCACGAGCGAGTCGACTGTTCACACCATAACGTGTAGATAATGGATCACAAGGCGAGAGGCTTCAGGATCTTTGTTATTCTGCTCAGCTGCCATTGATTGATTGAACACAATGTGCATCCATGGTGATTATCTGAAGAAAATAAAACCTTTGATTGTTTACGCATGGGATTATAAGAAGTAAAGGAGTCATTCATTCACAATCAGACAGTCAATGACCAATTTTCTGGAGTAAACTATCCACCAGACATGCTCCAATGCCGTTTCTGATACAGAGCCTTGAGAGTTGGCCAGTAGCAATACCCCTCCTATACTAGTGTGATAAATGAATATTTATAATATTGGTGGAAAAACTCTTAATGTTGATATTTTATTTGCTTGAACTAACATGACACCCTACACCCAAGTGTTGTTGTTTTTGTAATTGTCATGCAATAATTCCCCTAAAATCCGCTGATTTTCTTTGTGCTAATTGATATATCTATCATATCTGTGCATTGACTGGCGTACCTCCCCCACTCCAGATACCTGATACCATGGTTAGGAAGTATGATGATATAGATACTCGCATATTGGAACATCTCTATGGTGTACCTATTTATAATCAGCCATGGTGTGAGTCATAATGTGCATTGATATCAGACTTTCTGCTGGATATCAAACCTGCCATTGAGATCATGGTGCAAAGTTACATTTTCAAAACCTTAACCTGTGAGTGCGTCCATGTGGTTTTTTAGGAGTTAGAGATGCAGGCGCGGGCTCACGGTCTGGCCATCGCATCCTCAGCCCTCTGCTCCGCTGAACTCGGGGCCCGGACCATTAAGCAGGAGACCGCTCTGGAGGACTGTCACCAGGACCTGTACACACTCCACCCCCATCACCAACACCACCCAGCCTGCACTCCAGAGCCGCCCGGCACATTGGATCTAAACGAAGGTCACTCAAACTTCCCCGAGGGCCACTACAGCGTCCACGGCAAGCCGGGCTCCAAACTCAACGACATCCTCATGGAAGACACCTTATCCCCGGTGAGAGGGGGGGACCCTTTGCTCTCGTCCGTCTCCCCGGACGCCTCCAAGGACAGCAGTCGCAAGAGCAGTGTAAGCATGGATGAGAATGATCAGGGGTGTTAGCACCCCCTACTGGAGGACACCTCGCCTGCATCTGCAACCGCCTCCATCTTGCTGTTTCTGTCAGCAGTTACTACACTCCCAGCTGCTGGAGAGGTTTCTTTTAGTTTGTTTTTATTGTTTTGTTTCCTTTTGTTTACATGTTTTGATTTTTGTTTTTTGTTTTTTGTTTTTTTTACAATATCTTTTATCTTTTCAAGCCCTTAACCTTGCTTTCAAGGACTGATTATGAAGTAATTTTGCTTTAATCAATACTATGATGACAATGAGATGCAAAAATATAAGTTTTTATATTTAAAAAAAAAAAAAGTACATTTATCTTTGGATAGAGGCTAGATTATGTTTATTTCTATTGATTCCAAAGAATCTAGGGAAGTGATAAATCATGGTCAGATGTGTAGATATTAAATGGTGAGATGAATGCTTTTTAAATCACTAGCAATAATAGATGACAGACAAAAATCTATTTATTACTTTAGTGCTTTACACTTCCTGTGTCTTAGATTAAACTTGAATGTGTCGATGCCTTATTACGATGTGTATACATCCATGTTGTCTTGCTATGCACATGTTTCTGCTGTTAGCTGTGTCTTTGTCACGCTTCCAGTTGAAATCTCTCCCCTGAAAAATATTAATCGTTTTTAGATTTGATCTTATTTATGTATCTATATAAACAGGACTTTTTGTACACATTCCCTGAAACAAAAAAGTTTAAAGTATAACAAGGCATTTCAAAGAGCCTTGTGAGTGAATAATGAATACAAATAAGACGTTTAAATGTCTCTTTAAACACGCTTAACTAGGGCCCGACCGATATGAGATTTTCGGGGCCGATATCGTTATTGAGGAAATAAAAAATCCGATACCGATATATTGGCCGATATCTTTCTTAGATCTATCTTCGACCTGTAGAGATATATAGATATACACATTTATTGCGGTGATCCCTCAAATGCAGTTATCAAGCACTTGTGGAAAAGATATCTAACGAAGACAAGATGGTCACTCAACTGGAAAGTTACTGTACATGTATGTGCATCACCGTGTCTAGTGTAATACCAAGATACTCAAATGAAATGCTATCTGACTGGGGAATAAATCTCGTAATATCGGCGCATATCTGCGATTAAATTAGCCAATACCGATAGTCACTTGATATGCTATTATCAGCCGATATTATCAGCTGGCCAATTAATCGGTCAGGCTCTACTCTTAACATTAGGAATTCAATTTTGATGAAGGCATATTTCAGGCTTTATGAGCAAGAAGCAGCACAATGATGGATAAATCCTTTGACCACCAGTGCTGATTATTCCGCAGTTTGTACGTGACTTTTTAATAATATAATTCTTACTGCAAAACAACCAAAACACTGAATTAAACAAAGAATGCAATAAATGATTTTTTTTTTTTTTTTTGTGTATATTTAAGTCTGGAAACTATGAAAATCGTGTCTCAAATCAAAGTTAGAACACATGCACACAAAGCTGATTTCACTCCATAGATCTGATTGTTACATAATCCAGTAATTCTTATAATAATCTGATTAATGCCAGAAAGATGAATCACTTCAGTTTTTTTTGGCACTTTTTTTTTTTGTTTTTTTATTGTATTGTTGTCTGCAGTGATCGGACTGAACTGAACTGCTGCACCCGGTGTAACACAGCCATGTTTTGAAACAAGTGCTCACTTTTTATACTTGTCCATCCATTTCCTAAATTATTTTTTTTACAGCACTGCGGTGACATTTCACATCCAGTATGCTTTTCTTTTTTCCATTATGTGAACATTTGTATTGCCAAGGAGTATAAGGAGACTGCTTTTGTATGAAATGCATGACATTGTCAAAACACTGGAATGTCCTCTTTGTAATGTGGTTTGTACGCCTTTTCTTTTTTTTTTATCGAAGCATAAACTTACTATTGTACTGGCTCTTTAAATGCAGACTGTAGACTCTTTCAGTGTGCCGTTGTTCTTCTATTTCAGCAGTTTGTTTTCAGCAGTTGTAGCACAATGCATAATATGTATGCCTTTGTTAAAACCTACCTGCCATACATCGCGAGCCCTGTTAAAAGCACAGCCTCCATTTTTTTTGTAACTATGCAACGGTGGTAGACAATGTGATCTCCTTATGAATAAGCCTAAAAAAAAAAAAAAAGACTTCAAAGTAATTACATTTTCAATTGATTTAAGTGCCTTACAGTCGTGTATTCTGTTAACCTGTTGGTGGTGGAGGAGGAGGAGTTTTAGACAATGATGCAACAGTTTGTTGACGTTTAAACCGGTGTTTGGTGCTTCATGGTTACACCGAAGAGGCACCTTAGAAAGTCAAGGAAAGGGCCTTTTGTAAGAACAAGATAACACTTAAAGCCTCGCAGACTCAAGAACCACGAGGATGGGTTCTTTATGAAGGACTCCTAAAGTGTTCAGTATTAAATCGCTCATTATTTAATTACTAATCAAAGATGTTGATACGGTAGATTGTATAAGTTAACCAATGAATTTGATAAATTATTGATGATAATTATTCAATGTTATTTAATAATTCATAGAAATACTCTTTTTACATTTGACTTATGTACTCGTGATTATTTATTTCACATATCTTCATTTGATATTGAACACTTTGGGATGGCTGTGCATTCTGTTTTTTTTTGTGTGTGTGTTTTTTTATTGTTATGAAGGCAGTGTTTTCAAAGTTGAACTGAATATTTCTCACTCTCTTTAGACTAGCATGAATGTAGCTCAAAGTGATGACTGCCAAAATGTGTTGTTGCCAAAAAGAAATCAGACACAGTGACTTTATTTAACATTATGAATTACAGTTTTTTTTTTACAGTGTAACTAATGCACCACCTCTTCTGTTACTGGTGTTACCCCTCCTAGAGTTACCATACCTGGAACATGATGGCAGTCAGGTCATGCATACTACACACAGGTTGCTTTCACTGTGAAAGATCAATCCTGTTCTTGGTAAAAGACGATTGACTAAAAAAAAAAAAACTCAAGATCTACTGGTATTTCGAAAAACTTTCAACTGCCTCTCACCATGGAGACAGCATGGATTACATGAAAACCATGAGTTGTGGTTGAAAGTCTATAAAAAGATAGAAAGTGGACCTTAAGTGAATTTTTTTGTTATAGGTAATAGTGGCCCTTCTAGCGACACCAATCCAACATACTGAGCCTTAACAGAGCAATAAAGACAGGTCTACAGCACTGTCATTTGACTGAACCCCAGATCAGCTTTCTTTCTTTTATTTACTGAATAGATAAACCTTGAAATGTGACAGATCGGAGGGAACATCAGCATCACATTATGGGTAAACCACTAATGAAGAACTATCTCTCGTGCCCACTCTCATTCCTGCGGTTCACACTGAAGTCGTCCTCTGCTGATGTTGCTACTGTTCTTATTGTTACACTTTGTATGACATGAATGTAGCAATAGTTACTGTACGCACTGGTTTCAGATTAGTGAGTTGGAACTTGTTGGTACTCAAAAATGTGGAACTGTCATGTGAGAAATATTAAAAGTTTTATTTGAATGTTTGAAGAGCTTGTGTATTTTTTTTTCTCCCTCAAAATCTTAATTCTCAGGACTTACAATCAAATCTAAAACTGCCAATGCTCACTAAGTTGTTGTTTTGCTTTATACCCCCTGTTGAGCCTTTACAATCTCTACACATATATTCAATGAATGTTTCAGAACAATCTTTAATTCAGTTATGAAAAGAACATTTTAATTTTTATTATACAGATGCACCGATTGGGAAAATCACTGCCCATACCGATACAGATGTTTGAAAGAATATTTAGTTTGTTTCATGACTTCTTTCGGTTCAACACTTCCACAATGCCACCATTTTCTCTCCATGTCTGGTTTCTATTTTTGCTGGATACCGGAGCCCGACGCATCAATTTAGCACAGGAAAGAACAAGCGGGACCGGAAGTCAGACACCGAAACAACATTAAAACATCCGGTTAATTTTCAACATAAAACACTCTGTTTTAACGGTTCAGAAAAATGACCGTTTGTGTGTTGGTTTATGAGTTTATAAGGTTTATATAGAGGTTTATACCACATACTTTGTATTATCTCACACTGTTATCTACATTCTATTCTTCCAAGTTATAAATGTTTCCATAGACATAAGCAGCTAATCGTGTTAGTATCGTAGCTCTCGGCTGAATTTGATGCATTATTATCCCTATCGTAACACTAAGGGAAGTTTACAGTCAGCTGAATCAGCGCATAGAAAACTTAACTTAATCATTTGACTCAAATCACATTATTAATTACAGTTGTGTAGTTGCTTGTGTAACATTGCAGGAACTTACTATCTCGGGTTTGTTTGCATTTGCAAGTTACAATTCATATCAAAGTATTAATTTAGCCATTTTGTTAATGGGGCCGTCTATAAAGCCGGGAGACATTTGTTCTTGCATGAGGAGAGGTGAGGACGTGCTGCCTTTAACATGTTTTTTAGTCTGATTTAATTATGAAATAAGTTGCCTTATTTACATTGAACTTTTGTTGTTTTGTTAAGTTAACACATGTTGGTTTGAGCACTGTAAATAAATACTCACCTCTTGGAAAAATGTCATCTGCTGAGTTGCCTTTCTACCACCTTCCTAGACACTCCTAACAACTTTACAAACATTGAGATTGACCTTTCTTTCAATGTATCTAGCTCCGTGAAATGGCGAAGTGGAGCAACGTCGAGCTTCTCACCGACGAGGATACCAACACTGTCTGTCTCGATGTTGTAGGGAGGGTTGATGCCTTGCTCAGAGACACCTTGGCAGTACTCAGGAAGTGACATGGCACCTCTCCAATATTCCAAGCTTTGGTTTGCAGGGACTCAGACTTTGTTTGACAATAAAGAGCAATCGATCAATGTGAACACTAGTGTGCCGATTTGTAATTGTGGAAATACTGTTTGTTTTTTTTTCAGGTACAGGCAGATCCCAGTCTCACCTCCTCCAGTGGTTCAAACTGTAGTATTGTTGTTGCTGATAAGACTGTTATCCTGTTTTGATCAGAGTTATCAAACCATCCTGCTGCTTCTTCACTTTGGTCATCTCAGTAAGTTCCCCTCATCTCTGAACAAGCTGTTTTTGAAACATACTACTATATTTGAGTACGTACTGATCTCTCTGGCCAAAAATTCAGTAGTTTTATCAGACCAGTCTTCTCTTCAGTCCCACAATGCAAAGCGCCAGGTCAAAGCTTGATAAGACTGACAGCAATGGCTATCTTCAAGAGAAAATAAATACACAAAGCAGACAATTTAAGCAGCTATGGCAATCTCTACTCCTCTGTATACCTATTGTATACCTCTGTATTGCACTATATTATATTATACTACATTATATTATATAACTGCACTCTGCATTACTGTGGTACAACACTGCCTCTCTTCTCTGCTGTTTACATTACTTGCTGCTATTTATTTATCATACCAAGTCACTTTAATCATCACTTGTCACTTTATCTTGTCATTCTCTTCAAATACTGTCTCAATTCTCAACTCCCCCCAGTTAACTTCAACATTCATTTTTGTACTGTATATACCCCCTGTTTTTATTTTTTATTTTTATTTTTATTTATCTTATCTATTCTGTTTAATGTGTATTTGAGCTTTCTTGTCTGTGCTGCTGTAACGCCCGAATTTCCCCTCTGGGGATCAATAAAGTACTATCCTATCCTATCCTATTGAAAAAATATTTGTATTAATGAATTTAACTGATTCTATAGGATTCTGTTACCGATGACTAAGTCACATACTTTGCATTTCAGAAACTGATGTGGATGTCATTGATATTTGCCTGGACGGACAGTTTTTGGTGGTCTGTGAAAGAAATGGAAACCTTCATTTGATCTTCTATATCCCTGTGATGGCCAGAGCCACACAGGGGAAATATCACTCACCTCATTAGTTGTTCACCAGCACATGTTTATTTAGCAGTCTACAATACAAACAGCTCACACACTTGATTTATTGTATTATATTATTATAACCACTATGTAAGTTCCCCTGTTATCTCATTGTGTTAGGTCTGTTTTTTTGAGTTTATATTAAGTTGACCTCTTTTATAGGCCTAGTTCTTATAATTTGGTTTGTTCCTCACCTCCTGCAACTAATCAGCTGGAGATGATCAACCTCGGGCAGGGCTGCTGGTCTGGGTGATTCATTCTGCTGACTACAAGTTGATGGTGTGACTTGTATGTTGTGTTTTCAGTGTTTGGAAGAGCAGTGCTTAGCTTGTTGGGCAGAATTAATTTAAAAGCTGTAACCAGCGTAACAGTGAAGCGTAGGGGTTCTCTGCCATTTTCTTTCACCCATTTTCTCCTGTTTTGTGGCGAGTCAGGGAGTTTAGTATTTTGATTTTGTTTCTCTCAGGTAAGACAGCTTTTATTTCAAGTCAGAGTGTTTTTTTTTTTTTTTTTAAACTTATTTGGCCTTGGGAGAACCCTAACGTTTATTGGTTCCAGCTAGGTGTTTTTCTTTGTTCTTAGTTTCACTTTGTTAGTACATTTTTCTTATTTTGTATGAACTATTTTATTTTACTCAACGACGGTCTGTGTGGGAATTGTTTTTGGGTAATATTCTGTTTATTGTAAATAAATCTTTGTAAATCTTTACTTTTAAAAGCTTTCGCAGTATCTTATCTTTCAGTTAGTTATTTCACAAATGTATGTTACTACTTTAGACATAATAAGGTCGTAATCATTAAGTCCCACTTGGGACACTGACTTTAAGGGGGGGGGTGGGGAGGGTGATGGTCACTGCCTTAGTCAGGCTATTACTAAATTGATTCTGTCCCCCTGGTTCTTCAGGAGTTGGATGGTCCAATCTAGAGCACCTGGGCCTGTTGCTTACAGGGCATAAAAGCCCGACCCTAGGGTGGCTCTTCCCTCTCTCTCTCTCTCTCTCTCTCTATCTCTCTCTCTTGCCACACATTCACATTCATTCCATGGTTGTTTGCGTTATATGGTTGTTGGTGCGTTGTGCTAATAAATCATTGTTACCTCAATTTAAGTTGTTTTTTCTCATATTTGTCATGGCCATGGAGCCAGGTTATGACACAAGGGAACTGACTTTATGTCTACTCTGCTGAAACAGATGTACCAGTTACTGGGTATCAGGAGCCTCAGGACCATATTATCCTCAAATGGATGGGTTAACAGAGCGCTTTAACCAGACCCTGAAAAAGATGCTCCAGACGTTTGTAAACCACACTGGTACAGACTGGGATCAATGGCTGCCCTACCTCCTCTTTGCATACAGAGAAGTACCTCAATCCTCCACTGCTTTTTATGGATGGATGATAGTAACGTCAGTGTTTCCTAATTCCTAATCAATAGCTCGAGTTAACAGCAGTTATTTCCACTCTACTTTCATTTGAAGATTATTCAGGTCAAGAAAATAACCAGTGTAAGAAATACACATCTTCTTTGGTGAAGTAGGCTATGTTGTTTGGGACACAAAACCTACTTTTATATTATTAACATCTTACCTAGTTAACTTTCACCCTCGTCAATTAAAATGTTTATTTTCCATCACCCATTAATTGTTTTAAGCTCTTGCCTTTAGAGTATTACTGTCTAAGAGCATTAATGTATTTTGTGCTAGAAGTCCTGACTGTATATACAGTTGTGCATGCTGTAGGTCTGGTTGTAAGGAAAACGTTTGGGCTCACATGAAATACTATGCAGAGGTTTCTGTACTGCTCTGAAGAGAAAATCACATTTTGTGTTCACACTATATCATAAAATGCCCATTGTTCCACAAATGTTCATCTTCTCTCTCCAGGTGCAATCATAAAACATTTAAAACCATCCCCTGCCAACCCTGGGCCACTTCTGCTCCCTGCACTGTTTGGTATTGTTTGTTCTGTTACACTACTTATTTGTATTTATTTATAAGAAATATTAGAGTTATTATCATTTCATTAATTTTTGTTTAGAAGTTCTTATTTATTTTTAAAATAAATAAATTCTGTTAAATATAAAGATGTATGCCAGTTTTCTTTAAGTCTATGAATATTGTCTTTGGTGGTCAAACTGTCTGCAATATAAGCCTAGGGCACCAAAATGGTTAGGGCCAGCTTTGTGTCTATAACTTGAAGGTCACATATTATGCAAAATACACTTTACCCTGATTTTCTTACTCTAATATGTGTCCCTAATCTACAAACCATCAGTTATTAGAAAAGTAAATCCTTTTCTTTTGCCTGCTCCACAGGCGTTACTGCAGCTACGTCTTTGTTCTGCCCTCTGAGTCTACCTTCTCACAGCAAACAATTGAGCATGGAGCGAGAAAGTCCACACAAAGAGCCACATCCTCTTTCGGAGAGGGGCGGGGTCAGACACAGCTCATTTACATTTAAAGCTACAGACACAGAAACGGCCTGTTCTGAGCAGTCACTGGATATGCTAACATCCGCAGATTTATTGGTCGAGCTCTGGATGATAATGCAATTCAATTTGCAGCCTTTGTATGCAACTGACATATAACCACGGTCTGAAGTAAACTTAGTCTTTTATCTGTTTCAAGGAAGCTCGGGGGCGCTGATTGCCTGACGCCATGGTTACTGTAGGTGGTGCCCCGTGTTCAGGTCCGACCTTTGGCTCCTTTCCCCCATGTCTTAACTACTCACACGTTCCTACTCTATCTACGGTCCTTTCTAAATAAAGGCAAAAACCCCAATGATAAATCTTTTGTTTTAAAGGTAGCTTTATTGGGCAAAAGAGTGTTGACGGATGTTTTTATTGTCTAATAAAATCTTCTTGCCCCTGTTTTGTGATAAGACTAGTCCTTAGAGACCAGGCTGAGTGCAGCCTCTAACAGGCCGCTCAGGGACCAGCTGATCTACTATCAGCAGCGCCCTCCGGTGGTTGAAATACACCATGAGTGAAATGTTGATGTTGACCATCTCCACAACAGGCAACTCTGGGATCACTGCGCTTAACATCACACTGCATTCATTTTTATTAGACACAATGTAACAGCTGTATCAAAATGATTTGAATATGTTAAAGCAATAGAATAGTTTCTCATAAAAAAAAAGCCTCACATGCATTACATGACTCTTTTTTTCATCTGAGCATCAGATAAGGTTTACGTCATAATCAGTTCACCTTTAGGAGGACCAGACAACTTTGTTATTTGAAAGCATTGGGTGAGATTTCCTAAATGTTCACAGCCTTATAAATTATGCGTTTGGAAGTGATACCAGTACAGGATGCTCGTGGAGAGGTAATGGTCTTCTCACAATGACATGGCCATCACCACAATGCATTGCTGTCCCATCTTCCCCCTTTAGAGTACAGAAAGTTTTCACTTCTCTGGTAGTGTAAATGTAGCTGACACATAATAACAAGCAACTCTAGACTATTTCAAGGGGGGAGGGGTGGGGGGGTTAATCTGCTTTAATAGCACAAGCTATTGATCATGTGAATTTCAACATGAGGCCTTGATAAAAAACCTTTGTAATGCAGGAAACTGATCACACACATGTGAATAAGATGAAAAAGTAATGCTGTTTGTGGAGCATTCAAGTCTTTAAGTTGTTTTTTTTTTTTTAAAGGGAACTCATTGTGTTTTCAGGTCAGAGTTGGAAGACAGAAAAGGGATTTGTCAGCGGTAGCACACCTCTGATATCTCCATGGCCAGCTCTATGAGTTCTCCTGCATCCTGGCAGCAGCCGCAGAAGTTACAGTCCAGCTCCATCTTACAAGAGCAACAATCGCTCCCCTGCTGGTCGCGCTCACTGGACGCCTTGATGTATTTGTATGAGGGGAAACAGCGGCTCACGGCCCTCTCACATGTATCCGGTAACAGGACCATTATTAACTCGTGGAAACGACAATGCAGACAGGCGAGGAGAAGTGCGGCGCAGTCATCTGGTGGCATTGACAACGTGGAAGAAAGGAGGAGCACATCAAAAGAAAATATTATGCAAATTACACAAAGTAAAGAACTTGCTAAGCCTTGAAAGATTACTGAACAGTTCAGTGGGTAAAGGTTAAGTGACTCTTAATTCATAAAAACTAGACCCAACTAGAAAGAAACAAAAAAAAACATAAAAAGACACAAATGGATATGATATATAGCACACAGAAACAAGACTTAAATGAAGATAAATAAATAGAACGACCACAAAGACAAAGGTAAGAAAAGTGACAACTAAAAGAAACAAAGAGACATACGATTGACACAGAATAACCGAAGAACAATATACAACGACCACACAGAGACACAGAACAACCCAAAATACACAAAATGCCATCAAAAAGACTCTAAATGACCACATAGAGACAAGGAACAACCAAAAAACACTAAAAGAGAAACCCTCTGGTATGACGCTGGACATTTTTGGGAGGGAGCAGTTTTCACTCATTTGTCAATCATTTTGGTTGTTTTACTGCATATGGCATGAAGAAGTTTTTTTTTTACACATTTTAGAGTTGCACTTTCAATTATTCTTATGGGTCTATAATACAGTTTGTACAAATTCACGAGACGTTGAGACCATTAAGGACAAAAATGTCCTCTTACAAAAATATTCATAAAAACATACACTGTATATTTTCCCACGTATTGGGGTTAAATCTTTTAATCAACTTCATTCCTGATCAAAACAACCAAACATTTAAACATTTTTTGTATTTTAACAATTCAAATTCCAGTTTGATTACATGATGTCACTGTTGTTTTTTTTATGGAAAAAAAAGCAAACACACACAAAAAAGTCATTTTCATATACTCACTGATCGGCTCGTGGACTGTTTTTTGAATCACAGCCTTGGAAGTGTCAAAGATTAGCAACAACATTGATGTTGATGAATCCATTCAAGGACAAAATGTCTCATTTAGTCGCATTAAAACCACATTATTCAATCTCACAGACATTACAGAAAATAACAATGCACTCTGTAATGTCAGTGTTTCATTTTAGATAAATGACTCACTTTTACTGTATACCACCACATGGTGCCATTTTCCCATTGTTAGCCTGTACATGAAGTGCTTGTCATTTCATCATTGACTCTGACTCTGACAGGCGCTGGAATAAATGTATGTAACTCAAATGATTGCATGGGTGTCGGTGTTGTGTCAGCTGAGTAATGTGTCTGTTTCTGTTTTTATGTTACTGTGCATGGTATGTACAGTGTGTTTGCGTGTGTGTGTGTGTGTGTGTGTGTACAGAGACAGAAATGTATATTTAGTTTACTGCAAGTCGCAATTTTCACATGCTCTCTCTCTCTCTCTCTCTCACACACACAAACACACACACAAACACAGACACTTTCACTCATTCATTCATTCATTCATGTAAGCATGAGACAGGGGCAGGCGTGTTCTTGTGGCATTTTCTTTTTTTCATTCGTGCTGTTTCATGTGTCTTTGAAGTCGACAGATAATAAGTGAGCTTGACCCAGCTTGATCTTATTGTGGAACTTCAAAGTCCTTTGATAACATCTCTTTAGCACTCTGCCTTACACAGCCATACATGCACTCCTCCAAGTAAATAAAAACATGGGCCCCTGCTCATGCTGCACTTCAAAGAGGTGACGGCGGAGAAAACAAAAACAAGGGTTAGTGTGTTTATGCACCTGGCCAAAGCCAAAGCTATAATAATGGTCGATGTCTCAGCCTTACGCTGGTTTGTGCTTCTCAGTGCTGTCGATCCCTACTGGCAGAAAGCCCAGTCATACAGGAGGAGGCTTTACTTTACTTGGACGAGTTGGGGAAATCCCTGGTGTCTGCGGAAATCATGCGGAGACCCTTTCCACCCCCCCCCACCCCCCATTCCATTCCATTTGTAGGTTTTATGGACCCATAAAACCAATTAGTAAGAGTGATTATAAATATTTGTAGTTAAATGGTTCTCAGTGTTATGAGTGTCTCATAACAGAGACTTTGAGTGTTCACTGCTGCTCACATTTTTGCTAAACGCTAAATAAATGTTGACAATAATTGTTTCAGTGAAAGTGGAAAATAATTCTTATTGTTGTCTTACCACCGAGAAATGAACAAGAATTTCATGCGTAGGCTTATAATGGGATAATGGCACCATGGGGTGGGATACATGTGATAATGACACAGTTAGAGTTTGTTCCCCAAAAGGAAACACTGACATCATAAAATGTATTTTAATATTCTGTAATGGCTGTGAAAAATAGAAAGTGTTTAAATGGGTCATTTTTGTCCTCAGGTGGCCTATTGGGGCGGTCAATTTTAAATCTGACACTGCACAAAAACTAATAATGCATCAACAATAATGCTGTTGCTAATCTTTGACATATTCAAGACTGTGATATTTTAAAAAAATCCCCCAGCCCCACATCATTGAGCATATGGAAAATAACTTAATAATAATAACAGTGACATCATGCAGTCAAACTGGCATTTAAAGGGTTAAAATCCCCCAAATGTTTAAATATATGGTAGTCTTGATCAAGACTAAGGTGGATTTAACCCCAATAAGTGAGGAAAGATATTTATATATTTAATATTTTCATGAATAGTTTTGGAAATAGACATTTATGTCCCTAAAAGCGGGTCGTACATTTGAATGATACCAGAGGGTTAAGAAAAACAACAACCATAAAGAGACAAAAATGATGATCACAAAGACACAAAATACAAACAAAAAGAGTCTAAATCATCACAGCGACCACAGAGACATTCCATAGCTTAGCATAACTAACTAAAACCTTGAATTATAACACTCTGCACCACACCAGACATATATTAAAACTCTGGTAAACATGTTTTTCAGTGACTAATATTACAATTTCAGGGCTTCTGTGTTTCACATCACATCAACACTTCTACTTTCAGATGTGTCAAACAATACCTGCAGAGTCTGGCAGGTAGGAATCATCCGAGGAAAAAGGGCTGCTGCTGTTTTTAAACTTGTCGGAGCACGTGGAGAAGCTGGATCCACCCCATTCACTGCCCCCCAGGGGATCATGGGAGCTGGGATCTGTGTCTGGGAGCTTCTCCAGTTCTTGCTCTGAGATGGTGCTCAGTCTGCGGACCCCGCTGACAGACTTGCCCCTCATCTTTCGAGACGGACCGCCCGTCACTGGCTCGGGGGTGCTTCCTTTGAAAGAACAACATCCCACGATTTTTGGTGCACAGAGTTACTGTTACATAAATGAATTGCTGTTTCGGCACTAAGTCTCTAACAGACAAGTTTGAGCCAGTGTTAATTATTCAGTGCACCATTAACATGCAGAATGTCAGGGAGGTGAGACTTGGAGTGTATAATGGAGGAGAGATTATTGATTTGCAAGCTTTTATTTGGATCTCGTTTCCTGAATTGAATCTGGCCTGAGGAAAATATATACTGTGTGAAAATACACTCTCCCACTTACATTTGGCATGCAGCACATCTATAAATCAACCCCAAGTTTTGACTTTCTCACTTCTATTCTAGGTGCTACTAACAATAACTCTGTCAAAGCAGCTTTTAGCCAGAACTGACATGAAGTAAACAACAACTACCTACCATCTGACACATGGTTCTCTGTCTTCTCACGCTCGACACAATCCTCATCATCGACAGGGGGCTTTTTGGGAGTTGTCATCTTATGCAAAATAAAATGGATAAAACACACACAGTCAGATAATAATAACTGAATTCAAGAACGATGCATATTTTTAGAAGCAGCCCTTTTTTTTCGTGCTAAGTTTAAGAGTCATGCAAGTTTCTTCCGTTCTTACAAAACACTTACTCTCTCATGAATTCTGCCAAGTAATGCACTTTGAAGATTACCTGTGTGTACTTGTTCAATATCCAACAGAGTAATCCGTAGCATCCGCAGCTGTGATGCCCTCTGAGCCGGAGCTTCAGCACCTCCCATCGTCATGCACACACCCAGCCACACTGTGAGCACACTCCACATAGATCAATACTCGCCACTCAGGAAGCACAACTACAAATCTGTGCTGGCATAATGCATGGAAGATTCATTCAATTATGGCATTATATCAATATAAAAGGTCAAGCCAGGCCTCTTATCAAACACCTGGAGATGGCATGACAGACTACTCAAATAGGGATCCTAACGCAGCAGTGGTTAGTTTGGCACACCACACATTTCAGACAGTACAAGGGTGAAGTTATCAGATTTATAAAATGGACATGCCGCAATACCACAGTGGGACATCTGCCACCCAGTCCATTTGTTTCATTCCATTAAGAAATAAGTCCAAACAGCACCCAGACAATTCCTTCTTATGAAACAGTGATAAATGGTAATTCGACTAAATCACACAGCATTTAGAATGCATCTACAAGAAAGCTCAACAGCTTAGCGACGCTCTCCTAAAATGTCTCGTCTCCTTTTTTATTGCACTTTATCCTGGGAATACTGGTTACTGTATTTTGGCTATGAAACGGTACATTTTGCTCCTGTTATTTCCATTTCCATCTATATTAAAAAGGAAATAATCTTCAGAAAAGGTAAAGGGGTAATAATGGATTTGAAGTGTCTAAAAATGTTAATTCTTGTTGGTGTTTTTTGTTTTGGATTTTGAACATTTAAAAAAATCAGAGAATCAAAAAGACCGAGTACTTTGAGTTTGCTGTTGTATCTTTCATCGCTAGAAGTACGCTGATTTAGAGAAGTTTCTCCTCAGGAGGATGAAAAGTTTAAACACCAGACAGGACATTTTAATAACAGTAAAACCGGTCACTTATTACATCAATCCTCACATTTAACATTGTTTCCTGGTACAACTTTCTCACTGAAAAATGCAATTTAAAAAAAAACTAACTGGAATGTGCAGCTAAAACCACCACGGGCACCTGAACCCAACTGTCAGAACTTGACCTGCATGCAGCAGAAAGGAAAGCAGTCTGCATCACTGAGGACCTTTAACATCCCCTTCACCACTCGTGTCAGCTGCTCCCCCTCAGGCAGACGTTTCAGAGCAGGCCTACCATACCACGAAAAAGAAAACGTACAGAAACTCTTTTATTCCCACTGAAATATACATTTTACACAAGGACAGATAAACGAGTGTCACTATGATACTTGCATTGAATTGCTGTTTTTAGTTTGTCTATGTATATTATATCTCTTCTTATGAAATAAACCATGAATAAATACATTTGATTTTTATGGGTCTAATGGGTGTGAATATTTGTGTCACTTCAGCCTTTAACCTCGGGTCCTTTTCTGTCACGAAAGGTGTTTTCAGACCAAACTGTTCTCAGGAACTATCCACTATGGAGTTCACTGAGAACTACACACCATAGGGACTATTTTTTTCTGTCTGCATTCACACCACTAAGGTACCAACTCTGAAGCAGGAGCTAAAAGGTTCCTCTAAACAGGGTTCTGGGAACTGAAATAGTTCGTAGTACATGTGGTGCAGAATCAATAAAAAAGGGGGGGAAAGTTCAAACAGCTTCTAGAAAGTTCCTGTGGTCTGAAAAAAAGCCCTTATGTGATAGACAATACAGTTTTTTTTTTTTAAATCTTTGAATCTTGAAATCAATGACACACACAGTGTACACATTTATCATGAGGAATTTATTTGTCATAGAGATGCATTGGTTTACAATAATGGTAAATCTGTATTATCTACTCTTACGAGCTCATTTAAGAGCAGATTCAGCGATGTTCATGTAAGGGTGAAAAAGACCGACAGCTTTATAGAAACGACGTAATCTTTCGATCAAATGGTTATACCTTCAGTACAAATATATCAGATCATGTTGGCAGTGAAAATTTCATTTTTTAAAGCAATATCCTTATTTTCCCACAACATTTCGTTTTAAAATAATTTGACAACTATAATAAAATCAACTCATGTGGCCCCAACATAGCAAAAAGGAGCTTTTTTGAATGGAGGAAACTGTCTCATTGTGAAGTGCTAACTATCCGTGTTCCCTTTCCTTTGGCTTCTCTGCTCATCATGGTCCTTTTGTGTACAGAGATATATATATATATATATATATATATATATATATATATATATATATATATATATATATATATATATATTTTAAAAAAATTAACAGACAGTTTCATCAATGTGTTTCTGTGATTTCACTCTACTGTACAGACAGAATTTAGAGCTAGATTAAGAACAAAACAAAACAAAAAAAGAAATTCAGATAAATACAGTGAAAAAAATTCCCTAGGAAGAGTGTTTGGTTACGTAGATGAAGCAGTTTTTTGTTTTTTTTGTTTTTTTTGGAATATAAAGTCACACAGAATGTGAGTGAAGCGGCCTGTCAGTGGAGAGCTCAGACCTCACGGTCAGAGAGAAGGCACGCGGTCGAAATGAAGGCTGGGCCTCTGCGGGCTGCCGTCTTCTTCATCTCGGCTCATGTCCGGACTGTGGCCGTGCTCGTCCGTGCTCTCTGGAGACTCGTACGGGTAATTCTCACATATCTCCTCGTCCTCCTGCTCCTCTTTAATGCTGATGAATATGCAGGAAGAAAAAAAAAAACATTATTAGGATTATTGATCACATAACTACATAACTATGAATCACAGCTGAGGCTCATATTGAAAAATGGAACATATAAGCTCTGGAGCGAACACTCACAAAGCTTGCGGAGGGGACTGTGTTGCGCTGCTATCACTTTGGTATCCTGATCCATTAGCGAGGGCGCCGTTCATCTGCTCTTGGAGAACATGAGGCAGGGAGTGCAGCGAGATGCAGCCCATGGAGGCCGGGCTGTACAGAGAGTTGTTGACGTCTAGACCACCACTCTGCAAAATTCATTCTCGGTTATTCTATTTATTATTATTATTATTATTATGCATAAACACATAACAGTAGCTGTGGCACATTTCTGATTACTGCTATACATAACACAGGAGCATCCCTTAGCTCTGTGTCTACACTGCAACAACAGCATTTATCATTTCAATTGAATGGAAACATAATCTAATAAGAGCTCAAATATCAGGTGAGCCTTACCTGATGGGCAGACCCGGCTAAACTCTGGCGGTTCTGTGAGTTCTTCAGAGGAGATCTATGAGGAAAAAAAAGCCAGATTAGAAAATAAATACCTGAAAGACCTGATAGAAGCTCTATACCTCACGACAATGTTGTAACTTTGTGTCCATATCTTCTAAATGGATCATGAACTGTTCTAAATGCTTTCTTTTCTAATGTGCAGGTTGGACTAGCGGTTAGGTTGTGCGCCATGCGTACAGAGGCAGTAGTCCTCAAAGCAGGTGGCCAAGGTTCGACTCAGACACTGCATGTCATTCCCCAATCTCTCCTTTCCTGATTCCCTACTCTATCTATCCACTCTCTTTTCTCTCCAATAAAGGCTTAAAAAAGATACAAAATAAACCCTAAAAAAAAAAAAATGTGCTTAGCCTTCAGAGATGCATATACATGATGCAGTCATTGGGTATTTGTTTACAGGGCACTCTTTCCCAGCAGGTCAGACACAAACCTTTAAACGTTTGCATGAGATTGTGTTTTTATACAATTCTTTGAGCGAACATATGTTTCACCAGTTCTTTAGCTACAGCTGTAAATGTATGCCAGCCTCATTTCAGCTGAAAAATCATCAGTCATCAAAGTTAACAAACAAACATGAAAACACCCTGC